AAAAAGGATGTGGAGAAGCTTGAGAGAGTCCAGAGAAGAGCCATGCTCATGATCAGAGGTCAGGAAAACAGACCTTACGATGACAGGCTGAGAGCCATGGGGCTCTTTAGCCTGGAAAAGCGCAGGCTCAGGGAAGATCTAATGGCCACTTATAAGTTTCTCAGGGGTGGCCTCCAGTATCTGGGGGAATGTTTGTTCTCCAGAGCACCCCAAGGGATGACGAGGTTGAATGGTTATAAACTACGGCAAGACCATTTCTGGCTGGACATAAGGAAGAATTTCTTTCCTGTCCGAGCCCCCAAGGTCTGGAACAGCCTATCAACGGAGGTGGTTCAAGCACCTACATTGAACACCTTCAAGAGTAAATTGGATGCTTATCTTGCTGGGATCCTATGACCCCAGCTGACTTCCTGCCTTCGGGGGGGGGACTGGACTCGATGATCTTCCGAGGTCCCTTCCAGCCCTAATGTCTATGAAATCTATGAAAAAAGAGAACCCTCAGTACAGATAAGTCTCTCTCTTCCCTTTTCTGGTCCCTTGTACAGCCCTGATTTTCTCCTGCATGGCCCAATCAGGTTCATAGACATTAGGTTTCATAGACATTAGGGCTGGAGGGGACCTTGGAAGGTCATCGAGTCCAGCCCCAATGTTTCTTATAACATCTCTGTTCAACCCTCGTCATCGCATCCTACAAGCCTTACTGGCATCTTTGGAAAATTACCTCAAGCTCTTACTTGGGTATTACCCCTAACTCCCCTCCTATGCACACACAAAACTATTGAAATAAAGTGTTGAGGGTATTTTAAATCCAGACTTCTTTGTCAAGCTGAAGATTCAGCCTGTGGCCTGGGTGCAACATTTTCTTAGGCTGATAATCTACTCTGTAATGAGGATGGTGTTCCCTTGAGTTAACCTAGAGCTGTTGAAATCCGATCCTTCTTTCTTGAAGACAAAATATATACAAAAGGAAAGCAAAGATAGAAAAGACACCATTGGTCTATAATACTTATTTGTAACTTTATTGCTAGAGACAGATTGGCTGTTAAAATGGTGGGATGAGCCTTTCTGAGACTTGCCTAAATTGTACCTGTTTTAGGCTGTTTAAGAAATTTCTTTTAATGTTTCTCTGATCAGGGGCTCATAATAATATTGCAATAGAAACTGTTTTGTCTGGCTAAGCTAGACTCATCAAATACAAGACAAAGAAGACAAAGTTTACCAAGGGAATTGGTAAATTGGTAAATTCATCTCTAAGGAGATAGCTTTTTGAAAAAAATCCAGTGATCTAATTTAAACAAAAATTACTGAGTTTGCTAACATGCACATGCGTAATAGGGAAAAATATTTTTCCCTA